ATTCTTTGGTGTGTCACAGCAGAACTGTCTGCCCGGAGGATGGAGCATAGTGCGCTCATGCAAATTAGAAGAGACCGTCTTTATTTCTAAAGCAGCACCCGATCATCTCACACACGTGACCTGGGAAAGAGGGGCTAACATTTGCATACACTTCAAGCTGGTTAATGACAAGGACTAGGGCACAAGAAGAGGCAGGGCCATCCTTCACACTCAAAATCTGAAGTACACGGGCCCTGGCGCTCAGGCTCTAAGGATGTGGGTGTCCCTGCCGAGGCAGTAACACCCTGCGCTGAGCAGGGAGAACTCTAGCACCAGGGCCGGGCATCTGCATCCTTGGAAAGGGCATCACGTGAAGAGGAAGCCGCTTCATGGGGCCCCGCTTTGAGAGCGCCGCTCTGCGGAGGCAGCTCCTGCGTGGTACCCAGGCAGGAAGCGGGGATGTGAGACCCACTCAGGAGGTGGCAAGTGAATTCAGACAGCGATCGAAGGCTGCATACCCGTAACAACAAAAAACTCAAGTTGTGCTTTTCTTCTTTTTAAATATAATGGGCAGGGAGGGGAAAATGGAAGCACCATCAGTTGTGAGAAAAAGAACAAGATATTAGAGTTAAACACTTTGGAATGTTAACAGATTATGAAGGTAACTCTAAAGAGTGTGGCTAGGCAGCTTAGTGAATTAATTGCTTATGAATTAAAAATAAATTATTATAAAATATATTTCTGTACATTTTACATACATATAATCTCTCTCAATATATAAGCCAAGTGGTAAGCGACCCGGGCCAGGTGCCTTCAATCCCAGCCGAAGTCGTGCCCGGTCATCTGGTAGAACTTGCGGTTGAAGGGCCGGTAGAACTCGCGCAGCCTCCGCACCACCTCCGGGTCGATGTCGGGGTGGGTCCGGCCCTTGGTCTTGCCCAGGCAGTGGGGCTTGCTGCTGCCCTCGGCCTTCTTCAGGCAGGGGAAGCCCTTGGTCTTGTTGAAGTAGAAGTGCTTGTCGGTGATGATCCTCTTGAGGCCCAGGAAGTCCTGCACGCGGCCCAGCTCGCCGGCCGGGTCGCTGATGAGCCGCTCGCCGCTCACGAAGAGCATCTGGCCGAGCGGGAAGTGGCGCAGCCAGTGCTCCAGGTGCTTGGCGTAGATGCCGATCTGGATGGGAACAGACCGAAGGCAGGTCAGAAGGTGAACCTCTTTGGCCTCACCTCTCAATGTCTTCTAACCCCGGCTCCCTCCTCATTGGGAACAGCTGTAGAAATACGAAAAAATTGCAAGCAGAATTTTTGAGCTGAAAGATCCATTACTGTCCCACCTGAAGTTTGGAGGCCAGACACTATGCATTGAAACAGAAAGACACCTTCTAGGGCAATGGTTCTCAACCTTCTGGCCCTTTAAATACAGTTCCTCATGTTGTGACCCAACCATAAAATTATTTCCGTTGCTACTTCATAACTGTAATGTTGCTACTGTTATGAATCGTAATGTAAATATCTGATATGCAGGATGATCTTAGGTGACCCCTGTGAAAGGGTCCTTCGACCGCCAAAGGGGTCGCAACCCACAGGTTGAAAACCGCTGTCCTAGGAGGTGGGTAGTAAGATACCCATCTCTCTAAGGTCCCCTCCTACTGTCACCTCTCCCTCATTTCCCAGGGTACCCTGCTTCTACCTGGTCCCAAACTCTGATGTCAGAACCAAGGGCCTCTGGGTATGTGCCTTTCCTAAATAGTAGCACCTGGGGCCCCAAGATTCCTCTGCCCACAGCCCTCACTGGCCTGCCTCCAGGGGCTCACCAAGCCTGGGCCAATGAGCTGCGGAGACATGTCCCCCTCGCCCGCCAGGCTGCACCGGCTTCATCACAGGGACCAGACAAAACCCCCTTCCCCAGAGATGTATCCCTGAAGGCAGCTGGGCACAGCAGCCAAAACACTGGGTGCAATGAGTGGAAGCATAAACTGTGCAAACTTGTCAAGAAATTCCAAAAACACTATAGATTCCATTTTTTAAACAGGGACTTGTGTGATATCCAAATGCAGCACTAATTTAAGCAAAAATGTGTAGACAAATTGTTACAACCTGCAATAGATACAGGCCATGACAATTGGGCCAAAATCCAGCTTTACGGTAGCAATTAGCACTAAAATAAATAAATAAGTAAATAAAGACTTAATGATGGAAGACTGTATTTTATTTGCTCTCTGAGCCTCAGCTTTCTAATATGTGAAATGGGAATAATTCCACCTACTTTATTCAGTGGTTATGAGATTTATAAAACCAAAGCAGTTTGGCTTAACAGTTAAGGAATGCAGGCTTGGCAATCAGACCCCCTGTCACTTATAAGCTGTGTTACCTTGAACAACTTACTCAACCGTTCTGGCCTTCTTTTCCTCCTCCGTAAAAATGAAGCTGCTAATGCCTTAATGCCTACCTCAGGTGAGTTTAATTAAAATCAAAACAATTAAGGATCATAACATGTTTTGAACATGCCTGGCATATGGTATATACTTGATATATAGTCATCATCATAGTGTTCAACACAGTTTCTTGCACATGATAGGAGCAAAGTTGAGCATGTGGGTGAACAGGCTCAGCCAAAGGAGATGTTAATTAAGTGGGTACTCAATTTTGGTCACAAATGTACAATTTTCCACTACCTATGAGATAGAGATTTTTTTAAGCAACAATTTTAAGAAATCTTTATTGTTGAAAATATTAATATGTCCTCTTTTTTCCCCATTGATTGATTCCTATCTGAGCCCAGGAATTTTTTTAAAAAGAAAAAAAAAAATTTCCACATCATTTTTGAGCAAATATTTACCTCTCAGCAGGACATTCTAAACTTCCAGCTTCAAGCCACTCCTAATCTACTGAGACCCAACTCCGATATTACACACATTTATGGAAATCATGGCATAAACTCACTCTCACTGCCAGCTAGGGGACTCCCTGGCGAGTGCTCCCTCCTCCCCTCCCACCCCCAGCAGAGGAGGTGCTAGCCCTGGAGCTCTGCCTGCAGCCCAGCCCTGGCTTTAGCTTAAGCTGATTGACCCACTTTGCCCATTAATCACTTAGATTACTGCAGCCATGTCAGCAGCTAATGTGATGGAGGATTAAAGAGAATCCGACTCTCAACTTATTTTGCATTTCACTCCAAAGCAGGGCGATTCAGATAAAGTCCAAGTTTTGCGCCATGTTAAGCCTCTGCAACTGGACAGCCTACCAGAGGCTAATAGTCAGAATTAAAGTGCTAACACCTCCTTGAAGGAAACCTAACCCCCAAAGTTATTCAGAGCCATGCCAGGGATGGGGGGGTGGGGGAGTGGGGAAGAGAGTCCATCTGACCCCTGATTCAGGCGTGTGGCCCTGCATAGGTCATAGGTCATTAACCTGTCCATACATCAGCTTCCTCATCGGAAATATGAGAAACACAATAGTTTCCACCACTTACTGTTTTCAAGACAACTGTGAGCCTAGCCTTGGTACCAGGCCTGGTAGCTAGGTGGTGCTAGAAAATGTACTCAGTGGTCTCTTGTTGACAGGATCTGGGCAAGGAAGTAAGGAGGCAAGGTTCATGCACGGGTCCCTCACACGGTCCATCCTCACAGATGGGCAATGGGGAGGCAAAGATGTGGGACAGCGGGCTCTGCTCTCAACCGGCCCGGGCTCCAGAACAACCACAGAACCTTTGCCGCCTGCGTTCCTGCAGCGTCAAGGTAAAGCCTGGCAGGTGTGCACACAATGGCTACCCGGGCAGCTGGGAATAAAAACCACACCAAAGGATTGGTGCAAAGGACACCGGAGAGCCTCCCTGGCCGCCAGTCCAAAGGCAAAGCCTCCTCAACCATTAACCAGCCTCTCTGAGCCGTGGGCAGACCACCTGTGCCTGACTGCCTGCAGCCACCCAAGCCATCCTGGTTCCCAGCTCCAGGGGACCCCTCTCCCCAGGAGGGTCTGCGTTTGTCCACATAGATCCAAAAGCTCAGGGACCCTCAGGGCTTTCCTTCATCATCACACTAACAGCCAGGGAACCACAGCTGTGACACCAACTTCTCAGCCTGGTCCACCTAAGGCCCTACTGTCCATCCCCTCGGCATGCTTGGTGGCAGCCAACGAGTGGCTGATGGGTGAGAAGCACAACTAGGTTCCCATCATTTCCACAAATGCCTCCCGTGCCCCCTTGCTGGCTTCCCGGACGCTTCCAGGCAGGTGAAAGGAACAGACACGCCACCCCAGAATGTGTGTCTTTGGCACGAGGATCAGTTGAGGCTGGTTGTGTGTAAGACACAGCAGACACGGAGAAGCTCCGAAAACCAAGTAGAAGTTGTTTCATGGGAGACTTTCACATTTACAAGGGAAATGTCCGTTAGTGAGGGTGTCCTCTCTGTAGCAGGAAGAAGACACAAGTAAATCTGCAGAAATCCCCTAAATGGAGAAGGCAGGACTGCAACCTGCAGGGCAACCTTAGCCTTGTTTCCTGTTTTTCCCCTCACCTCCGTAACTGACTGCCCCTCCCCAGCATCTTCTGTCTTAGCTGGAGAGGGTGTTTAACTTGGTGGTTTAGGCCATTTGGGGGATTTGCTCAGTGTACAGCAGGCATACATGTTAATAGGTGTTCCTGGGTCTCTCCCATGTGTGCAGCAGGTATACATGTTAACAAGTGTTCCTGGGTCTCCCCCATATGTGCAGGAGGTATACATGTTAATAAGTGATCCTGGGACTCTCCCATGTGTATAGCAGGTATACATGTTAACAAGTGTTCCTGGGTCTCCCCCATATGTGCAGGAGGTATACATGTTAATAAGTGTTCCTGGGATTCTCCCATGTGTACAGCAGGTATACATGTAAATAAGTGCTCCTGGGACTCTCCCATGTGTATAGCAGGCATACATGTTAATGGGACTCTCCCATGTGTACAGCAGGTATACATGTTAATAAGTGTTCCTGGATCTCTCCCATGTGTATAGCAGGTATACATGTTAATAAGTGTTCCTGGGATTCTCACATGTGTGCAGGAGGTATACATGTTAATAAGTGTTCCTGGGACTCTCCCATATGTGCAGCAGGTATACATGTTAATAAGCTTCTGTTTGTTTTTCTCCTGTTAATCTGTCTTTTCTTAGAAAAGATCTCAGCCAAGAGCTCAGAAGGGTGGAGGGGAATTATTTCTCCTCCTGTACACAGGTGCTGGGCTCCCACGGAGCTGGTGTCTCAGCCCCCCTCCGCTCCCCCCCCCACCCCCGCCCCGGGGAACACAGAGCAGACTGAGCAGTGTGGGTACTGCTCCTGGCACAGAACCTGCAGACAATCTCCGCAAGGCTCCTTCCCCCCTCAGCCGCTCTTCTCCCACCACCCATCTTTTGGTCCTGGAGCAAACTCCTTTTGACTCACTTCCCTTTCCCCTCCTTTCACTGGCCTCACTCGCCTGCCCTCAGACTCAAAGGTGCTCTGAGCACAACAGTGACTCAGAGAAGAAGCCTGAGGCCGTGGCCAAGGGTGAGCCCATCACGTGGGCCCTCACACGCCCATCCCAGCAGTGGTCGGGTCCGGCCCCAGGAAAGCCTCCAGAGTAAGCCAGCAGGGAGGTTGCAGGTTAATTGAGCTGCTCATTATGAAAGCCAATTTCTCAAACTGATAGCCATACCTAGTAATTAGCTAGGAGCTCACAGAGGACTTTTCACACGTTATCTGATTTAACCGTGCACAACAGGCCTTTGAGGTGGGTACTGCAGTCCCCAACTTGCTCCTGAAGAAACTGAGGCTAAAGAAGAGAGAGTGACTTGCTTGGGCTCCAAAGCGTGTGCACAACATTATCCTATTTGACCTTCACCTGCGCGGCAGGATTGGGAGCTAGCGTCAGCCCATGGGAAGCGTCCCCTTCCTTTTGCCCTGACCCTCTCCTCTCAACCTCCCGTGCTTTTCTTCTTAATACGATGAGGAGCGCACAGCACCACACACCTGTCCTCCCTTTAAATACCTATTTTTTCTCTTGTTCATAGATTAGGATCTTAATAATAGGTGTTTCAGTGCTAGAATCAGATGACTGCAATCATAATTGTCCAGAAATGAGCCAGACTTTGGAACAACAGACCTCTGAGGTTCACGTACTCCTGCGTTCTGTGGGGCCTGAACTCTCAGCAGTCATTGCCCAGCCCTCCCCCCACGCCCCTGCCCGGCCTCCTCCCTCGTTACCAGGTGGGACACCTCTCTGGCACCTGGCACATGGGACCACTGGGTGCTTGTGAAGCCGAGGGGGCTGCACAGTGTCTCTAGTGCTCCCCACAAGATGCTAGGCAGCGATGCAGGTGACACCCAGGACGGAGAGCAGAGGGGCTCCCACTGCCTCAGGAAGACCTGCGGGTGAGCAGGCTGGTCCTCCCGCCTGGGCCTGGGGTTGCCAAGCCCAGGGAACGCCCAGGAACACTGGATCTCAGAGCCTAGGAGCTGAGAACCGGGAGGGTTGACAGGGGTGTGCAGGCGGTCAGTGTGTTCCAGGATCTTCACGGGAAAGTGACGGGCCCTGTGGCAGCCAGTCTCACCCCTGCTTGCACCCTGAATCTCAGGGCATTTGAACTAGATGCCTGGGCCTGGGCCTGGCCCCAGACCACCTGAGTCCGGCCCGTGTGGCGAGGCCCCACACAGATTCTCTGAGAGGATGGCGCGCAGCAGGGGGTGAAGTCAGTATTCTGTGGTATCTGCCCTGTCCTTCGGTCGTTAATTCCGCTGATACCCATGGCCACTCAAAGGAGACACCATCGCGGGGGGTGGGGGAATTGAGAAAACAATATTGTGAATGAAACTTAATGTTGTTCAGCTAATCCAAGACTTATTGAATCAAAGGACCAGAGTTAAATCTAGAGAGTGAAGGTCATACTCTCTCAGCTGACAGCGGACCAGGTCCCAGAGGGAGTGAGGGGATGCCTGGTCGGTGGTCCACAAACTGCGGAGGACAAATAGCCAGAACAAGCCGAATGCAGGTGCCACACACACACACACACACACACACACACACACACACAGATAGTGATCAGATACAAATGGAGCTACCAGCAAAACACAGGGGGCAAACTGAAGGAACCTGAAGGAGGGTACGGCCATCTGTACTTCCGTGATAGTGAAAGGCTCACAGATCCATCTAATTCTTTCATCATCAAAAGTTAGACACCAACACCAACAGGAATACTCCCCAGCGAAGAGCAGGGCCAGCCCCGGACTCTCTGACATCTGCTTTGCCAGGGTCTGTGGCTTACAATGCAACCCAATTCATTTTAAAAAGAGCCCATGAAACGAACATGAATTGATGTCAAATATGCCCATGGCGCCCTTCTCCCCTTCTCTCCTCTCCAGGCGGGTGAGTAAGGAGACGGCAGCCAGAGTCAGGGTGGGAATCTCCAGCCTCAGTCCCAGAGCGGGTTTTCCCGGGTGCCAGGCTGGAGAGGCCGCCAGGAAGCGGGCCCGGGACGGGAGGGGAATTCTCGCCGGGACTGGCTGTCACGGGGCTTCCCAGAAGCAGTTTACACGGAACCTTCCAGGTCCCCGGGGCCTGTGTGTGACCACGGGAAGCAGAATATTTTAAACAAGCCCCAGGCCTCAGTGAGGAGGAAATTCACATGAACCAACGTAAAAAGCCCTGTAATGCGGATGTTCTCCGGCAGCAAACGTTGCCCTAATTCTCTCTTTCTTTCCTCGGGCCACATGCCTGCGCCCAGTCAGCACCTGGACTTAGGGAAGTGGCAAACTGCACAGGAAAAGGGGAGAACAATGGCTGGAACCCACCTCGCCACAGCCAAAGAGATGCAGAGACATTCACACAAAACAGATGACGGAGGGGATGAACCTCAGAGGGGAGGCACACCACTACCATGCTGGGGGCGGCGGGGAGGGGGGT